GGCACGTAACCATTCCACTCAAGCTGTAAATGGGTAAAAACTAATCCCTGATTTTTCGAATGAGGGTGATGGTTCTCGGAAAGACTACACAAATAATGGGCGGGGCGTTCATAAATAAAAAAAATTAGACCATTTAACCTCAACGTGGCTGGAAAAAAATAAAGCCATTGAGCAAAGGCGATTAAGGTGACTGCAGTACTGGCTTGTTTTTAGTGTTTCTTTGTTTTTGGGTATGAATCGTCGAATGGCTTAATTCGAGGTGCTGCGGCTGTTTGGCCTCGTGATAATACTGCTTAAGCTGTAGTAATCCCACAACAATTTTTGGTCCTGCATAATAAATGGTGTTTCTTCATCTCTGTGCAAGGCCTACTGAGACTACCCTGACGCCAGCTGCATTCCTGCTACGCTCATACTCAATCAGTGAAGCACTCATGAAAAGTTCTTCTAGGGTGGTAAGTATATAAGCTGTAATTTGAATAGTGAAATAAGACACTCAAGAGTAAACAGATAGAACTCACAAATTTAGCTTGCCGCTGCAACAGCACTGGAAGTATCCTGCAGGCCAACAAGCGATCTTCTTCTTCCTCTAAATGGAGCGAGCTTTTCATGGAAGACAAGCAGCGCGTGAAGGGCAATTTATGATGATGATGTGGATTCCAGTAACGTAGGGGCAGGCGTCAATAATGGTGTGGTGATAAACATGACTTGAGAGAGACAACGGGAAAGGAGACATCTATAGCCACGGCAAAAAAAAAAACCCTCTAATGCACATACCACGACTTAGAAAACTAGGTGTCGCTATCCAGATAACACTGTTTTGGTAGTGAAAATCCAATGAACGTGTTAATGACAGTGTTTGAGAAAAAGTTCTGGAAAAATGTGCGCAGCTTGTACTTGAGGCGGAAGACTGGAGCCAACAGCTGTACTATAGTGTTCAACCTATATTTAGGTGTTTGCTGATGATGCCAAGCTTTCGCTGGAGATGATAGGTGTTCGCTAGTAGCACTAAGTGTGACTAGACTTGGCTATCGTTTTCCACTTTCGGTCGATTCCCCACCCTACACAAGTTTCACGTGGTTTTGGCGGAAACTTCTGACCTCACTCTCTGTAGCGTGTTTAGTGCCAAAATACGCTGATTCATGTTCTTGGCTTGAATATATCAGGTGACCAAGTCTTACACGGCTTTATTCACGTGATTATCTGTTACGTGGTGTTTCGAGGCCTTAGTCACGTGACAGAGTCCTCTAATATAGTTATTGTAGTTCACACCGGCAAAATAGGCACACGTCTCGTGAGAGTGAAGCAGATGATGAAAAAGACCTCCAGGTCTGTGTTGAAAGGATGGCCCAGTTACAAAGAATGCTGTAAGAGCGGCTTTTCTGAAACAATTCATAAACACTCTTTGGGTAAGAAATCGATCGTTGGAGGAAAACATCTGGTCAGGAACAGACATGAAGATAATTACAGCAGCAACTTTTGGATAACTACTACGAGGACACTTGCAGAGTACCCACTACGCCACAAATCACCAGACCATTGCGAAAGCAATGATATTGCCACCAACACGTAATGGGTTGGAGCAGAAGTGGCCCTCACCCTGAAAAATAAAGAGATCACGCGTTTTTTTTTGCGTTGGAAATTCACCTCTTCACTTTGTTTTCTTTTTTTACGTAAGTTATTATAAACTTTGGTAATATATATATCGTCATTATACATCGTTATTATACATTTCAAAGGTAAGGAAGATCTTTTTCATTTTTCACGTAAAAGGAACGTGCATAAAGTACTAGAGAATATTTCAGAAATTTTTATGTAGCTCAAAAGAACATTTATTCGAATATATTTTGTGAAATAAGGAAAAGAAATATTTGAAAGCCAGCAGGCTATATTCTAGAGTTTTTGGTGTCCACCGATTCGGGCGAATTTAGGGGGACAAAACCGCAGGTCTTCAGAGGGCTCTGTTTGCAAACAGTGAAAGGGTCTATGGTAGTAAGCCCGCAAGGTAAACGTAAGAAATTAGGCGTGTATCGTCACGAATTGGACAAGCCCCGCGAGGGAAGGCGAGTACATTAGAGAGAGTGTAGCAAACAAGGTTACGGGAACGTTGGAGGCGGCGGTAGAAAAGCGCAAAGCCTAGTGAAGCGAGGAGTGCCAAGACAAAGAACTAGTAGGGAGAGATGGGTAAGTTGGCGCAAATTCGTGTATGAAAAAAAAACGCAACAAATAGTCCACAGCACACGGGCAAGAAAAAAAAAACTAGATCCGAGGAGCTTGCTTGTCGCCCTGTCTCCTTTGTGCATATATGTTGTGATTAATATCGCCCTTATTTTCAAAGCTAAGGCAAGGACTCTGCTCGGCCAATGTCAAGAGGAGGGCGAAGAAGAGAAGAAATTATTAAGTGTAATAAAATTTCGAGGCGGATTTTAAACTCCGATGCTGATTCCCCTAACCCCACGTCTGACCAGGCGCGCTAGTTCACAGGAAAAAGAGAAAAAGATACACGGAGGGTGTGAAAGACAGAAAAAAAAGATTCAGACAGGTACAAATAAAGAAATATAAAGAAAGAGGAATAAAGCAGCTCATGGCCATGTATGGTGTAGTATATCAAAGAGGTGTGGCGGCCGGGTTTGCTGACCGCCAGTGCGACCCGCTTTCGGCAGCAATAGGGACATAACACTATCCCGTGAGCAGGTTGGTTGGACGGCGGTATCCAAGCCGCAAAACCGGGAGATGTACTGTCTAAATCGAGACGTCTGGTCACCTTATTCTCGACATCCCCGGTGTACGGCCAAAAGGGGATGTCTGGATGTTTTGTGTAATTCGTTTCGTTGGAGTGCGTTGCGTCTATTGCTGTTGAAGCTTCGTGAAACAACAATGACGCTGTTTAAGAAACTAAAAAAAGGGAAGGGGGGGGTCACTAGTCGCCACACTTGAGCTGATCAAGTATAGCCGAAATGAACAGTCCGCTGCGAAATATATCAAGAAGAAATTCGCCAGTCAGTTGATGTATTTTATTTCTTATTTCTTCATGTGGGTTAAGCTAAAACACTAATATCAGTGCGTCGCATGTCGCATTGGCAGCGTCGGCCGGGTCACTTAAAAAAAAAATATGTGGTGGCGCATAACCCTAGCATACGAGTATGTGCTAGAGGTCTGTGGACGAAAGACTTTGACGTTGTGCGTGACGAGATTTTCATGTTAAGTGGGCTGCAAGCAGCTTGTCTACGCCCCTTGGCCTGTGGACCTTCACCACCCCAGGCTGCTAAAGTTCCAGCAACGGACATACAAGCGGTCCTAATCATGGCTTCATAATGGTAAATGGAGAAGGCTACAGTGCACATGAAGCAATATTCTCGTGGTTATAATGTTTGTTTTACACTATATATGTAAATGATAAATAGTGAACAACAATGAGTACCACTCATTTATTTTTGCTTCTAGTGTAAGAATGGCACTTCGAACATTGGCTACTGTGGTATTACTTTGAGTACCTGCACCGTTTATTCAACTTTGTATTAGACACCACAATTGTAACTACATTGTTTTTGCATGCCCTTCCTCTGTAAGGTATGTTGTATTACCACATTGTAATGTTTTGTGCTCTGTTGCTTCTGTTATATTTTGTGTTTTCTTTTCTCACCCTCCTTACTCAATGTCCCTATGAAAACCTGTAAGGTAACGTGAATAATAAATAAAAAAATAAAAATATTTGAGCATGCTCACTTTTCTTACGATGTCGAGAGATATGGCCGTAGTCATGGGTCACTCTTGGACTTCGTGAAGGAATCATGGTTCCAAATTTTTGTGTTGTGTGTATTAAAGCTGCACGGGAACCTAACGCAAGAAAAAACAAAAGTTTTCTATAATGTCATTTTGCTTCAGAATATACTTTAATGAACACAGCTTTTAGCAGATGATAACAATTTATGCTTTCTTGACACACCTACAGCACAGTGGGATTTTAAGAAATTGCTCATCTGTACGGAACCCTGAGTCATCAATGAATTACGCCACTGGAAAAAAGGAGTAAATTTACGAGCTTCATGGGATTAGTCATTACGCTCATATTCCTGTATATAATGAAAAATACATCAGCCGACCTCTGCCTTCAACTTTTATATCTCTCACAGCAACGCATTTAAGTGTACACACCGAAGTAGTAGATCATTCCTGCAATCACCTCACTACGTCAGACGCAATTCTGGAGGAAGCACTTAATAATGCCTCAGATACGGGTGCTCAGTTAATATATTGCACTTTCAGATACCTTCCTAACAGTTTCGTCGGTGGAAATTTATTGCGACGTCATGGGGAATAGAGACTAATCTTTTTAATATTTAGCTCGACAACGTTGTATAAAAGGCGATCCTGTTAGCGGGAAGACCACAAGATTTTGTTGCTGATTTGAAAGCGACGTGCACTAGTTTCCTTGAAAATTTTTGGGTGTTATTGTTAGATACGCCAGTCTTTTTCAAGCACAGTGCCCACGCAGTGATACACAACATCTGTACGTTTAGTACAACGAATAGTATTCGCAAAAGGCTGTTGTAACAGTGCTACACGCTAAGAATCTTTGTTGTTGAAAACTAATGTTCATTTTCATGTAGGTCTGCGATACAAAGTTATGCCCTAGAACAAGACCTCATATTGCAGGAACGAAAGTACGTGTATGATAATTCCAATACCACAGTGTTTTCATTCAAAAGTGCTGTAAATTTCTAAAAATTGATTTTCAAGTTTACTATGTTTTATTATATTTTGTACACCATGCTAGTTAAACTATTTCCACTTATACAAGCTGCCCCTGATTTAGTTCACTCATTTATGCCTCTCTCATAAACTTCACAGCTGATACTAATAAATTCATATAACGCAGTTGGCATAATCTAAAATTTTGGCATAATTTATTTTAATTTTGAGACTAAAGGGTCGCGAAAAAACACCGACACGTAAAAATTTGCAGCCATGCAGAATTTGATGACTGAATACTTTTTCGTACAGGAACTCTCCAAGGCGAAAATGAACGCCAAAAGCTTTCTGATTGCCTTCATGGTCTGCGCCATCTTAGTGGCAGGTTGGTATGGCGACCTGAATGCATCGCATAATTTTTTTGCTATGATCTTTGTACAAATAGCAGGAATAAAAAAAATTTAATATAGTCACTAAAACTAAGCAAAGCATTTTCGGTCATGATTCGTCCTATAGACACGTAAAAGGCAGAAAGCTACAGTAATAATGATCTTCTATGAACTTGCTTATAAATGTTTACTTCAAGCTGTATAAATATCTCGATAGCGAATGAATTTTCACTCCGATGCAACTATCATTGCTTACCGCGCCAAAATTTCTCTTCGAGCACTATGCATTGCTGTCTATTTGAGCATGCATGCTGATTTCCATTGCTGAATCGAAATAACCAATGGTCCCCAAAGGTTAAATTTCCAATATTTAATCTGTCAGATAACGAATCAGCGTAGCTAGGTACAAGTTATTTCCAGAAGTTGTAAAGGTATCAGTTAATTTTGTTCTACCTATGGCCATCTAAAGGCCATGATACGTAATATAAGGAATACAGTATTCGTGTTTAAAAAGATGAATACAAGGAAATTGGAAATGCTTGCAAGTATATTGAACATAACTTTATTGTGCTACAGCCATTACAGTCGTACCAGTGGCTTTGTTGGTTAATGTAGTACTAACGATCACGTATGATTCGCTATACACAGGCGATTGAAGGATATAGGTGGCGAAATCAGTTTGCGATTTAAACTGTGCTTTGTAATGAAGCGGTAGGCTTAGCACAGCACCATCCAGCATACCGAGATTCTCCATACTGGCAGATTATCCTGCAAATGGGACTACGACACTAGCAACGCTGTGTACCTACATTTCGTCTGACTTAACGTATAACGTAGTACTATGTTGCGATGATCGCTTAGTGGGTAAGACATACCTCTACTAAGCGCTAGGATGAACTCTCAAAACAAGACTTCGACGGTCGCACTTGCATTTGGGTGAAATGTATTAGCATCGGCGTACTCAATACTTGGCTACGATAAAATTTTCGCGCTCGTCACAATTATACGATGACACATACTGCAGTGTTTCGCCTAATTATTTGATCGTTACAGCATGCCATACCCTAAGTTTTATTGATGAGTAGCATAAGAGAAACAACGGCTGCAGGAACAAAAAGGTATAGTCAACCACAGCTATCAACTTTGTCTCTCGAATTTTCTGCTTATTGCGGTAAAAAAAAAACAGATCGTCAATCTACACTCGTAGAATACTGATTACACATTGTAAAGGTTGTCACTGCGAGATATTTCGAGACAGAGCACTTTTTCTTGAACCCCCAAACGGCTTCTGTGCAACTGGCAGCCCTTAATGCAGTAAACCACAACAGCATCTGTGCTGCAGTACTGTCACAAGATGTGTATTTCTACTCGCATTGTCCATTCATGTGTGCAGCGTAGGTGCTAATGCATATGATGCACAAATCTTTTCGCACAAACACGAACAAGGTGGTGTACTTTCAAATATTGACGCGTATCTTATTTCTGCCAATAAATTCGTTTTTCCGAAACTCTTTGTTCACTCAATGCAGGTGCCGCTGCGTGCGGTGGTGAAGGCCGCTCGGAGTCCGGCCGTTGCGGTGGAAGCGAGGGGCGCAGCGATCATGGAACAGTGGAAGCGCGCCAGGAAAGCGAAACTTCTGGCCGCTGTGGTGGAAGTTCTGGGCGTTGCGATGGCTAATTACCCGCCAAAAAACATCTTCAGCACTAAACTCTAACTATGTGGTGGTAGGTTTGCAGGTAATGCAGGAGCTCGACACAGCTTGAAATGAATACACGCAAAATAAAGATGCTTATTTTCATTTGTGTGGTTTATTGCTCACCATTGACAACAATTACATCTAGCACTGAAGACTACAGACACGAGCGTACAACAGTGAACAATGTTTATTGGGAGAGAGGCTTTTTATTGCCTCTGGAGGGTATGCGCATACAATGTGTGCAGTGTCAATATATGCGCCAATGACGATGCATCAGCCTTCATTCCCCTTAAGGTTGGTAGTGATCCGGCTGGCGTCGGCTTTTGATGGATCGACGTAACACATTTTCGCCAGGATCTGACTCTTTATTGCTATCTGATTGTCACCGCTGACGTCATTTACAACTTGGTTGTCATCCATATCGGGTTGGCGCTATCCGCATCTGGCGCACCTGAGCTCTCGGGTCTTTCTTTTGAGGTCCCAGGTTCCTCTTGCTTGAGTTCTGCTTCAACAGTGGCGCATTCCGCACTGTCGGTTCTCCTGGCTCTCAGCTGGTCGTAATGCCGACGATGATGTTCACCGTCTGTGGCCTTGACAGTTACCATGCGGTGACCTTCGAGGGCCTGTAGAACGCCAGCCTTTCACCTGTTTCCTGTCCCGTAGTTCCTGCCCCTAACAGAGTCTCCCTCTTGTCGAGTGGTTCCAGGGTGCTCAGTATCTGCGTGAGGAAATGCGCGACAAGACACGATGTTATACAACTTGCATCGAGGCTCAAAACCAAGCAGCATGAACGCTGGTGTTTTCCTGCAGGGCAGGGCGGTGCGGCGACATTGCAAGAGAATTCGGTCTAATCAGCCTAGTTCAGCGCCACTTGCGTTCTTGCGCAGGCCAAGTTCAATTGAGTGGGCACGGCGAAACGGCTGCGACCATGCCGCTCACCAAGAAGTTTGTTCTCGCTGTGCAGGTTTTCCTGTTAGCAATCGCCGGCGTACCAACTTCGTGCAACGTGTGCCTTGGACCCAGTGCGAAAAACGCAAGCTCAGACACACGGCAGCAATCAAGATCAACACTAACGCCAGGCATGTTGGACACCCCTCTTCAGGATCTGCGCATGTCAGTGACGTCATGCACCATGGACAGTATAAATCACTACCACAGAACTACTTCACCAGTGGGCATAGCGAAACGGTGGCGACCATGCCGCTAACCAAGAAGTTTGTTCTCGCTGTGCAGGTTAGTTGTTCATTCTCTACAATTAGGAGTGGAGATGAGTTGTTTTTATTGGTTTTGCCTTGCCCAGGCGCTTGTTTGAGTATTGCCTATGACTGTTACGTAGCTCTTGGAATTTTGATTTGTGGCGATGTTGATAGCAACCCGGGTCCCTCCACAGCTGATATTTTACAGTATGTACTGAAGGGACAGGCCGATATTCACGCCAAGGTTACTGAAATGAAAAATACGTTTAGCGAGTGTGTACAGCTCATTCGTGATCTTGACTCACGTTTAAAATCACTAGAGCAACTTATGAAAGAATCAAAGGAAAGCTTGCCGCAAATTACAGCGCTTCAATCATCGTCATTATCCCTTCAAAATTCAGTGGCCTTGCAAAGCAGAAAACTTGTTGACCTTGAAGATCGCAGTCGAAGGTCGAACATAATCGTTTATGGCATTTTGGAAAATAGCGGGGAAAACGAGGCATCATTAAGAAAAAGTGTTGTTGGAGACATTTTTGAAAAAAAAAAACTTGGAGTTAAATGCGAGTCTATAGCCCGTATTCACCGCCTTGGCCGCCGCGCCGGCCGACGCCCAGTAATAGCCTATTTTCAAGATTTTAATGAAAAGCAGGCTGTCATTCAAAATACAAACAAACTTAAAGGGACAAACATTTTCATTCAAAATGACTACAGTCATGAAACACTACGCGTGCGCAAGCTTCTTTGGGATAGCGCCAAAGTTGACCGGGTGAATAAGAAGCACGTATCTCTTTTGCATGATAAGTTGAAAATTGATGACACCATCTTTGTGTGGGACGATACCAGAAATGAACGTGTGGCACTTACAAAGCAGCGGGACGCCACTCGTTGACGTACAACGCGTGCAGAGGCAAAATATTTAAGGATACTAAATTTTAATGCTCGGAGCCTTGTAAATAAGATTGGCGAACTTGAACTGTTGCTTCTTGAACATGATCCACACATAACAGTAATCACGGAAACCTGGTTAAATGACAACGTTTGTGATTCTGTTTTAATACCGCCAAACTATAGCATTTTTTGTTGTGATTGGCCAAGTAGGAGCGGTGGCGTAGCCATTGTTTTACGGCATCCGTTGACAGGTGTTGTTATAAACCAAATCGATGGTCATGAAAGTTTGTTCCTCAGAGTAAACTGCTGGGGTTATGTCTTTATCGTGTGTGCTGTGTATAGGCCTCCATCGGCTTCCCCTGAATACATTTCTAAACTGTGTGATCATATGGGTCAGTTTTCGAACAACAGGGTGATACTCGCCGGTGATATTATTATTCCGTGCATTGATTGGCGTGACCCCGTTTCCTTTTTCGATGTGGACATAAACCCTCTTGTGGATATCATGATTATGTGTGATCTAAAACAAACTGTTACAGAGTACACCAGAGAAGCTGGAAGTGCCCGTTCGGTAATAGATTTAGTTTTTATTAGTAATGATATTTCTACATACTCTGTGGATGTGGTTGATGGTGTGTCGGACCACAGGGCGGTGTACCTTTCCTTTCCACTTGGTGATGCGAAGTTTCACAAAAAACAAGGAAAAAAGTTAATAAAAGATTTCGCTAAAGCCAATGACCATGCAATACTTGACTGTCTGTGGGAATTTTGTGATAACATGCCGGGCTGCGTCACAACTCTCTGGGATGCTCTGAAAAAAACTATTCATTATTGCATTGAAAAATTTGTCCCCTCCAAATATGTTCGCACTAACAAAAATAATCTGTGGATGACAAGAGAAATCATTCATTTACACCGTAGGCTAAAACGAGCCAAAAACCATGAAAAACCAGTTAGTGAGATATCTAAATTAAAAATCAGCCTTGCTTTCAAACTCTCCGACGCAAAAACTAGGTATTTCACTCATTCATTACCTGAATTTTTGACAAAAAGCCCTGAAAAATTTTGGCGATATTTAGAACAAACGGATGCTACGCCCAGCCAAATAACTGTTGATGGTTCCATTGTAAATGATGCGTCGGTTGTCGCTGATCAGTTTAACAGATACTTCTGCTCCGCATTTTCTGCTCCCCAACATGAATCACCACATGACAATCTATTTCCAGTAATGTCTTCCGAGTTCATAACTTATGAGGGCATATTTTCTTTGCTGCTTAACCTGAAAAATAAATCTTCAGCTGGTCCAGATAATATCCCAAACACATTCTTGCGTAAGTATGCCGAACCCGTTGCGCACATTTTAACAAGCGTTTTTCGCCTCTCCTTCGAAAATTCCTTCATTCCTGATGACTGGCGCATGGCACGTGTAGTGCCGGTGTTTAAGAAAGGGATCGTTTAAACATTGCAAACTACAGGCCTATTTCCTTAACATGTACGTCATGTAAGCTATTAGAACACATAGTCGCACATTTCATCACAACATTTCTTGAAGAAAACCGCCTGCTGTCGCCATTACAGCACGGATTTAGAAAAAAAATATCGCCCACGACGCAGCTAGTCACAAAAATTCATGAGTTTACGTCGTCGCTGGATACGGGGAATCAAACTGATGCTATTTTTTTAGATTTTAGTAAAGCTTTTGATCTTGTCACGCATAGCAAACTCATTTCTAAATTATATGTCCTAAGTCTACCTGTTAACCTCATTGACTGGATCCGTTCTTACCTTCAAAATCGCAAGCAGTATGTTAAAGTAAATGACTGCATGTCTGGTATTCTACCAGTGTGATCAGGAGTTCCTCAAGGTAGTGTTTTGGGACCTATTCTCTTTCTGGTATATATAAATGACATAGTTGAATCAATAGACACATCACAAGTCCACATAAAGCTTTTTGCAGCTGACTGCATACTTTATAAAACGATTGCTGCTCCGAATGACCAGAAGTGCCTGCAATCCAAACTTTGTGCTGTTTCTAAGTGGTGTGAAGATTGGTCAATGAAATTAAATAGCGATAAATCAGTTGTCATGCATATAACAATTAAGAAACACCGTTTTAATTTTACCTATTCTCTCAACAACTGTCCATTGACTGAGGTTAACGAATATAAATATTTATGCGTCACAATTACAAGCCACCTAACGTGGTCAAGCCACATTAATAAAACATGCTCATCTGCTTCTAGAAAGCTTGCTTTTTTGCGACACAAATTAAAAACAGCGCCCCCAGAAATCAAAATGTTGGCCTACAATGTTTTTATAAGACCAAAGTTAGATTATGCTAGTGTCGTTTGGAACCCACATATAAAGAAAGATGTTAAGAAGCTTGAGATGGTGCAGCGAAAGGCGGTTCGCTTTATCTTTAACGCCTACCGCAGAAATGACTCGCAACAACGATCATGGCTAATAATGATATCCCCACTTTACAATACCGAAGAGCTGTTGCCCGGCTGAAATTTCTACACTCACTTTATTTCCGTAAATTTAACATTTGTCCAGAAACTTATATAAGAAATTGAATCTCAAGACAAACTCGACATACTCACAGCTACACTCTTGAACCTTACTTCACACGTACTAATGTTTTCATGAACTCATTCTTTCCTCGGACGATCAATGATTGGAACGCGTTACCTTTTGAAGCATTCTGTGATAATGAAAATCCTGACTTCGATAACTTTGCATCTTTCTGTTTTTAACCGTACAACTGAAGATCTCTGTCTCACGTTGTATTTTATTTGCATTCTCCGGTTTCAATTTGATTTCTTGCTGCCATTTAACTTTGTTCAAATGCTATCCTGCGTTCTACTGCCTTAACATGTTTTTATTGCTTGAACTTTCTTTTATTTAGTTACATTGTGAATCACTTTTTGTTATGCCCCCCTGCTTGGTCTTTCGACCGCAGTATTCTGAAAATAAATTAAATAAATAAATAAATTGCTCGCACTGCCCTTCCTGCTA